TTTTTAACTGTTATATTGAGAATGATTGATGATTTTATGATATGGGATTAGATGGCAATGAATTAATGAGATTATGTAAAATGTTATGCATAGAGTCTGTTTGACATGATCATGTGTATAAAAGTATTTTTCTAAGGGTACAATATGGAATACACCATTATGGAAGATCCCGTTGTAGACCCCTAAAATTGTCCGGGTCGGAAATAAAGCTTGAAGACTCTTGAAGACTGAAGGTGCCCCGATGTCACACTATCAGAGCATTCCCATAATTTAACTGTTGGCATTCTAGATGCCACTCGTAGCCGGATCTTCTTCACCTAAAATATCCACAGTTTATACGGTGAGAAAAGAAAATATCTATATGCAAAGTACATACAAACACATCACAATATAATCTCATCATAATTCATTATTTGATAATATATATATATATATATATATATTCATCATCGTTCAACATATCATCTTACAACTTATCAATATAACATCATCAATCATGCATCAACTTACAACGTATAGTTTCATCGCCATACCCCATCATACATATAACTTATTCATTGTCATTTAACCATAAAACGTATTCAAAAAAGAAAACTTTTATCATGAAACTCGCACTCAACTCCACTTAAGGGCCACTCAGTGCCATTAAGGAAAGGGACTCCCTGTCTCGCCCACATCCAACACCATCCAACCGGCGCTCGGCATGGTTATGTAAGGACCCTTGGGACCTCACATTCTGCATGACAACAACCCATGTTTGGCCTCACACCAACCTGAGACGATTTTATTTCCTCATATTCAACCTCATTCAAACTACGTCTGACACTAGTTCAGCCTAAGACATTCTCTCTCCCCACGTCAATCTTGTATCCAACATGAGTAGCACAAAGTGCCACTAATTGAACCATGCCCAATGCCTTGAAGGTGTGCAGTCCTAGAGTTATGTAAAACTAAAAAATCATCCAATTTACCTAAAATTCAACCAATTTCCAACATGAATTGTATAAAACAACATGCAAACATCATGAACAACTCAAAAACCACCTCATTTACAACATGCAACCATGATCAACCAAGATACAACATTTCCACTTATACACCACTTTAAGAGCTAAAAACTCAAACAAGCCACATTTCATGCATCTTCATCAGAATCAACCACACTTGGGTGATTCTAGACAACAACAAACCACACGCTACATAGATCATTCAAGTCACAAACCTCTATTACCTCTTGTAGAACCAAATCAATAAGAGGAGAAGAGGAAGAAAATGGCCTTGTACAAATCAACAAGGACAAGTGGAGAGGATTGACTCAAAGTTCAAAGAACTTCTCACTAGATTTTCTCTCTAGGTTTATGAAAACTTAAGTCCTAAGACTCACAATTTAATAAAACTCTTTTATATCTTTTTGAGCTAATCCAAGTTATCTCTAATTTAATTACTTTAAAGACCAATTTAACTCATAAAGTCTCCTACCTCTAAAATTCTAATACATCACTGGAACAAGAAGTAATTTAAACAATTAAAACTCATACAAAACTCTGTTTCCCATTACCCACATTATGAAGAATCCTCCACCACGTTATAATAATTAAAAAGTGAAATAAATTAGAACCGTCAGCTTAAGAGGGGCATCTGATTCGGTGTTTTATTCTTTTAGAAATTTTCATCTTAATACAATAATACACGGAATAAACGAGAAACCAAAACGACATCTCTAATGCTTAATTATATTATTTTAAGCGGTTCCTGGAAATAATTTTTTTGCTTTTTTAGTGAAAATAATTTTCTTCAACTCAAAGTATGTCACTCCGAATCATTCAAGAAGCTGACTCCGCCTCCCAAAACACCATGTTCTTCTCAGCTAGTTGATATTTGAATATGCACAAGTTTTGTTTGAGAAGTGTTACTATTATGTAAGTTCTAGCTTTATACAATCAAGGAAAATAATATTTTTTCTTTTAATGTTATTGAAGTTGATTTTTATCAAAATGCTGATATAAAGTGACTCAACATTTATTTTCATTAATTAAATGTTAAAATTTGATTAATTGAAAATATCACTTTATCTTTAAAATAAGTTGACATATATGATGAGAGTGAGTTATACATTTTAGTTATTTGTAATATTTAAAAATGAAAATTGATTTGATTTATTTTCTAAAATACTCACTATTAAAGATAAGTTTTTCAATAAATCTTACACATTTTTTAAATTAAATACTTTTTATAAAAATTTGTAATATGTTTTTAAATTAATATTTAAGTCAAATTCTTCTTTCATTTTCGTTGGAAAATAAACAAGTTACGCATTGGTTATTTAGTTTCTCTAAATTAATCTTATGTAGTTTGCAATGTTTTTTTAATATAAAAGAGAATGAAGTTTTCACATTTTCGAATTATGCACGAATTTTTGTAAAAGGAAACGTGAAATCATTGTCACAAAATTGACATGTACTTAATTATCAAATCATACTTCAACCCCTTTAACATACAAAATATTTTTAATGGAAGGTAAGAGAAATTTATAAACCTTATGTATACCATAAATATTTCCTGTTGGTTCCTCTAAAGGCAATTGTTTATTCCTCAAAAGGTTCTAAACATAAACATTTATCCTATTATTTGTCATTAGCAACCCTTGTCGATATACCATTTGGATCTCATTCTTATGCTAAGGAGAGATGTAACAAATAATTTGAGACTTAATTAATATTCAAAACTTTCTATGTTTTCTCATATCGATTCTAGTAGTGGTCATGACAAACTTATGTATTATTTAATAATTAGAATATCCGAAAATTACATGTTTATATATACAACAAAAACAAGAAGAATAACTAATAAATCATTGATCCGAGTGATATTAGACGCGATTCCTTTAAGTAAGGATTTAAGTTCAAATCTTATGTGAAAAAAATGTGATAAAAAGAGAAGATTTTATTAAATATAATCATTTAAATTTATAGATAGAAATTTATCATCCATAAAGTCAATAAATATTTCATACTAATAATATACATGTATATCACGAATTAAATTAACACCATTCCTTTAATCTCTTTGAATCGTGGAATGTAATCAAATTTCATCCTAAGATAAAATTTGAAATCTTTTCTTTATCTCCAAATACTAGTATTGGCGGTAAGTTGGTTACTTTTGATTTCATACACCCCTCTATATCATCAATATTCGACTTATCACTATCGCACTCACATCCCATCCTCATTAATTTTGTAACTATATGGTGTGAAGAAAGGAGCATAAAAAAGTATAGTGTAAAATAATCATATCTGTAAATCCACACCTAACCCGCTTTGCGAAGTTAAATAATAACCTTATAACATCTTCCGAGCCTCACAGCATGGTGTTACATGATTAGCTAGATACCCACAAGTTGGACCATCACAATATTTTTATCATCCAAGTCATATGAAGATTAATATTGGAACTATAATAATTGTAAATTACCTAATAATTTATCCACAAGTTGGGTTGAAATTGTCGAGTTCAACTTATGTATGCTCCCTTCACCCTCAAGAAAAGAGAACCTGAAGGCATTGGATTAAATCTATGGAATTTCTGATTCTTCCCGCTACCAGAAATTTCCAAGTTTAGGTAACATTATGTTAAAAAGACGAATAAAGATGGAGAATAACATTCTAAAGCATCTTTTAAAGGGTCACTTACTCCATAAGCTTTCTATGATGCTTTCTCCTTTTCCTCTTTAATTGTTTCAGCTTATTTACTATTGACTACTGTCCTTACTTCCATACTGGCTCGATATTCTTCAACCGAGTTGATATAGATAAAGTCAAATTACTGAATGCATATGACTCATATAATGTTAAGTTTTCAAACAAGGGCCAAGTGGTCTTTAACCAGAAAATTTAAATCTTAAATCCTAAATTACTGAATGCATATGACTCATATAATGTTAAGTTTTCAAACAAGGGCCAAGTGGTCTTTAACCAGAAAATTTAAATCTTAAATCCTAAATACTAAACATGACTCATAATGTGAAGTTTCCAAACAAGGGCAAAGTGGTCTTTGACCAGAAAATTTTAAGTTATGGAAGAAAGACAAGAGAATCTATAAAAGTAGGCAGCGATTATGTGCAAGTCTACACTTATTTTTATTCTAAAAGACTATCTTTGTCCTCTCAAGTCTACCTTTACAAAGTTGAAGAATTTTAACAAGTGGGCTTTTCTTATCTTTACTTTAATTATCAAAGCGTTTACATAAAGCACATAATTGTGGACTGGAATGTTCCTCTAGCACAGATAGAAAGCACATTGAATTTATTCATTAATAAACATTTTTATTTTTAATGAGTTCCCCTTAATTTTTCTATATGCATAAATGAATAATATTCTATATAATGGGAATATCAGTGAAGATTGCCTTTACCAAAGTAACCTCCTTTGGAGGCGGAATACTGCATAAACACAAAAAGGTGACAGAAAGTTTGCCTTGAAGCGCGTTGACATGTTTGATGAAGATTAAAGTTAGAAAATTGATAAGTTAATTTTTTAAAATTCTTTCAAAAATTAAGTTGATAAAATTAGGCGATTATTGTTCTAAATTAAACTAAAACAAAACTCCAATATATTCATGCATCCGATCGAACATGATAAAATCTCAATTGGGTGTTTCGAATTCACTCTGGAGTCTAAAACATCCCCCATAAGCACAATTTTATAAAGGCTCCAATTATTTTTTTAAAAGACTAGAGTATATTTTCGGTCATTAAAAATATGAGTTTTTTTTGTTTGTTTAATCTTTATTTAAATTTCAATTTTTATGTCATTAAAATCACGAAATACATTTGTTTAAAATTAAACTAGAGACCAATTTTTTTCAAAAGGAATATCTTAAAAAGAGTAGCCGAAAGCATATTTGGACCAAAATTAAAACACAGTGTGAATAAGCAACAGAGGAGTGGAACCTTTAAATGATACCTCCTTTCAAGTTTCATGTTAGTGCCATAAAGATAACAAAACTTAACTCTCACATCTCTATTTCGGCATCAACCAAATAAAAAAGAAATAAAAAAAAAATCTCTATTTTGTAGAGGTCCAATTAAAGCAAATCTTTCTCCAATTTCCAAGTGCTGCTATTCCAAGTACTTGTGCTAGTTCTCATCTTCATTAGCAAATCACTACACTTGCTCAATTGTGAAAGACACATAGAAGTTGCAGCAATAATATTCCATTCACCACACGACACATGAACGTAGAGGTTGAGCATCAAGAAGAAATTTGAGAGGTGAATTTTCCAATTCCAAAGTCTGCAACACTATGAGTTCTTCTCAAGCAGCAGCAAAGCCAAACCAAGAGGACTACAAGTTGAAGGACACAAAGCCAGAACTTGGAGAGCGTTGGCCACATGGAGGGCAACGTGGAGGGAGTGGTTGGATCTACAGTGAGAGAGCCACAAGCACTTATGACTTGGTGGAGCAAATGTTCTACCTCTATGTTCGCGTTGTGAAGGCCAAGGACCTTCCACCAAACCCTGTCACCAGCAACATTGACCCTTATGTTGAGGTCAAGGTTGGTAACTACAAGGGCAAAACAAGGCACTTTGAGAAGAAGACCAACCCTGAGTGGAAGCAGGTTTTTGCATTCTCAAAGGAGAAGATTCAGTCCTCGGTTGTTGAGGTTTTTGTGAGGGACAAAGATATGGTGGCTAGAGATGAGTACATTGGGAAAGTGGAGTTTGACATGCATGAAGTTCCAACAAGGGTTCCCCCAGATAGCCCTTTAGCTCCTCAGTGGTATAGGTTGGAGAATCTGAGAGGGGAAACAAGGAGTAGAGGAGAAATCATGCTTGCTGTTTGGATGGGGACACAAGCTGATGAAGCATTTCCTGAGGCATGGCATTCAGATTCAGCTTCAGTTAAGGGAGAGGGTGTTTATAATATAAGGTCAAAGGTTTATGTTAATCCTAAATTATGGTATCTCAGGGTTAATGTGATTGAAGCTCAAGATGTTGAGCCTAATGACAAAAGCCAGCCACCCCAAGTTTTTGTTAAGGGTCAAGTTGGACAGCAAGTGCTTAAAACTAAGTTGTGTCCAACAAAAACACCAAACCCAATGTGGAATGAGGATTTGGTGTTTGTCGCAGCAGAACCCTTTGAGGAACAGCTTGTGCTAACAGTGGAGAATAAGGCCTCTCCCGGGAAAGATGAGGTTGTGGCTAAAATAAGTTTGCAACTTAACAAGTTTGAGATTCGTTTGGATCACCGACCAGTGCACTCACATTGGTACAACCTTGAGAGGTTTGGCTTTGGTGTGTTGGAGGGTGACAAGAGGAATGAGACAAAGTTCTCGAGTAGGATTCACCTAAGGGTGTGTCTTGAGGGTGCTTATCATGTGCTGGATGAATCCACAATGTATATTAGTGACACAAGGCCAACTGCTAGACAGCTTTGGAAGCAACCAATTGGGATTCTTGAAGTGGGGATATTGAGTGCTCAAGGGCTCCAATCTATGAAGACAAACAATGGTAAAGGTTCAACAGATGCATATTGTGTGGCCAAGTATGGTCAGAAATGGGTGAGAACTAGGACAATCACCGAGAGCTTCAATCCAAAGTGGAATGAGCAATACACATGGGAAGTGTATGACCCTTGCACTGTCATAACTTTTGGGGTCTTTGACAACAGCCATTTGGGAGGATCTCAGCAAGGAAGTGGAGCCAAAGTTGACTCAAGAATTGGCAAGGTGAGGATTCGTTTGTCTACATTGGAAATGGATAGGATCTACACTAACTCATACCCTCTACTTGTTCTGAAACCCTCTGGATTGAAGAAGATGGGAGAACTTCAATTGGCTATTCGTTTCACATGTCTCTCCATGGCTCACATAATCTACCTTTATGGACACCCTTTGTTGCCAAAGATGCATTACTTGCATCCATTCACTGTGAACCAGTTAGACAGTTTGAGGTACCAAGCTATGAACATTGTGGCAGTTAGGCTTGGAAGGGCAGAACCACCTCTTAGGAAAGAGGTTGTGGAGTACATGCTTGATGTGGACTCTCACATATGGAGCATGAGAAGAAGCAAGGCCAATTTCTTCAGAATTGTGTCACTCTTTTCAGGTGCAATATCTATGAGTAAGTGGCTAGGTGAGGTGGAAAAGTGGAAGAATCCAGTGACCACAATCCTAGTGCATGTACTCTTTTTCATCTTGATATGCTACCCTGAATTGATCCTCCCCACCATGTTCCTCTACATGTTTCTCATTGGAATATGGAACTTCAGGTATAGACCAAGGCACCCTCCTCACATGGACACAAAGCTTTCTTGGGCAGAAGCAGCACACCCTGATGAACTTGATGAAGAGTTCGACACTTTTCCCACCTCAAAGGCTCAGGATGTGATCAGAATGAGGTATGATAGGCTCAGGAGTGTGGCGGGGAGAATACAAACTGTGGTTGGAGACATTGCAACTCAAGGTGAGAGGTTTCATGCATTGCTCAGTTGGAGAGACCCAAGAGCCACAAGCCTATTTGTGATTTTCTGCCTCGTTACTGCTGTGGCTTTGTATGTGACACCTTTCAAGGTTGTGGCTTCAGTTGGTGGCATTTTCTGGCTTAGGCACCCCAGGTTTAGAAGCAAGCTACCATCTGTGCCTAGTAATTTCTTCAAGAGGTTGCCATCTCGTGCTGATGGCATGCTTTAAGTCTCCAAATGAATCATAGAGAAGAGATGTCTTTGTGTTGTGTTATTGTATTGTTGATTTTTATACTTTTTGTTTAGTGCAGAGTTACCTTGGGTTTTCATCTTGTCAGAAAATTTTTAATTCTTGTGCTATATGGGACTGCCATTCACAATAAAGCTAAATACCAACCAGCATCATTTTCCTCTATTATTGATTTTGTTACTGTTACATGCAATGATTTATAAACTCAATAGTGTTGTTCACTTCATATGTGAACGTGGGTCAAATCCTCTTGTCTATTGAGGTGATTACTCAAAACCAAAAACGAAGAAATTCATACGAAAGAACTTTCAATAATTAAAATTTTATTTCGAGTCTAATCTACACATCATAGAAGTGACGTAATAATAAAATTATAAATATGACAAAAAATTTATGTTGAATGTTGTTTTAATTGACATAAAAAGTACTTTCTATGTTAAGAAAATCAACATCTATCATAAAATATGTTGGGATGATCAACTTTGTAATTGATCCCATCCTTTTTTTGATGGATGTTGACTCACTTAACATAGAAAGAATTACTATTAGGGGTCAAATCGTGAACTTAGAAAGAATTACATTCAATTTCTTTCTCTCTAGCAGTCATGGTCTACTCTCTTGCTCTCACCTTCCTTCTTGACTCGGTTCCAATGTCCTAACTCTACAATGATGTCAACAAATCCAACCACAACCACTACTACAACCCACAACCAGTGCTAGGTTTTTTTTTTTTTTTTTTTTTTTTTTTTTTTTTT